ATCTTTACACTAATCCAGTTTTACACACGGCTGTTTTCATCATTTTATTTGACTCCGACACGATGGAACTGGATCTCTGAGATGATCTGTGGCAGAAACATCTCCTTTCTCTGAGCCGTGCAGCACGCTCTAACCTGATGAACACGCCTTTTTGGCTCTGCAGCTTCCAGCCCGTCACTAACTCCCCATGTGCCGCTAACATCCTCTCCTGGTTCTCAGAGGCCTGGTTTCTGAGCTGCTGTTTCAGGATGGTTGTGTGTGCTGCGGCGTGGTGCGGCGTGCTGTGGTGTGGTGCGGCGTGCTGTGGTGTGGTGCGGCGTGCTGCGGCGTGCTGTGGTGTGGTGCGGCGTGGTGCGGCGTGCTGTGGTGTGGTGCGGCGTGCTGTGGTGTGGTGCAGCGTGGTGCAGCAGGGTGCGGCGTGGTGCGGCGTGCTGTGGTGCAGCGTGGTGCAGCGTGCTGCGGCGTGGTGCGGCGTGCTGTGGTGCAGCGTGGTGCAGCGTGCTGCGGCGTGGTGCGGCGTGCTGTGGTGCAGCGTGCTGCGGCGTGGTGCGGCGTGCTGTGGTGCGGCGTGCTGTGGTGCGGTGTGGTGCGGCGTGCTGTGGTGCGGCGTGCTGTGGTGCAGCGTGGTGCGGCGTGCTGTGGTGCGGCGTGCTGTGGTGCGGCGTGCTGCGGCGTGGTGTGGCGCGGTGCGGCGTGCATTTGATGCTTCAGAGAGAGCATCATGGCTGGGACCTGAGCAGGAGACCATCGAGGCTGTTGAATACATGAATCCCTCAGCTTCCTGCTTCCTGCTTCTTCTGATGAAAGTAAACGTGTGGCTTCTCCTCTCCCATGACGTTTTGTGATGAACTTCCTGTTGGCTCGCCAGGCTGCAGGAGACTGCGGCTTCTGGGCTCAGCTCTGATCTGGGATCTGGGATGATGAAGTAAAGCTGTGGTTGTTCCTGAAGGATGGCGAGTTATTCCCAGCATCCTCTCTGTTTTCCTCTCTCTCCCATCCAGGCTCAGATAGTCCAGGTGAGCATCCAGACGCCCCCGCGGACGGCGTGGCCTCTGACATCACATTGTCCCTTTCTCCGTCCGTCAGCCCGGAGGAGTTTGAGCGCCTGTGGCTGCAGCGACACACTTCCTGTCTGGAACACGGTAAGGGGATGGTGGATGAACGCGTCGCTCTGGTGGGCGGGACCAGAGACCCATGGTGTAAAATGTGGACAGTGACTCATGACATTCATAAGTCCGCTACTTTAGGTAAACACATGAAGTATCTCCCACCTTAGGGGGTGTCACCCACTTTGACCTTTGACCTGCCAGTCCGTACTCCACACAGATGTTCCTACACGATGCCAGCCACCTGGTTGTGGCGTTCCATGGATGCCATCATGTCACACCTGCAGTTATGGTGGATGGTCTCAGGGACCTCTCTGATAACCGACACCTCGGGCCTGGCCTGGTGAGGTCGACCTCTGGTGTTCAGAACCGGTTCCTGTGCAGCATGATGGGCCTCTGTGTCCTCCAGCCGTTGGTAGGGTGCTTGATGTCAGGACAATGTAGACCAATCAACCTAACAGTCGTGTTGTTGGACTGTGGGAGGAAGCCGGAGAACCCACACACAGAGAACATGCTAACTCCATGCAGAAAGATCCCGGGCCGGGAAGCGAACCCAGGACCTTCTTGCTGCAAGACAGCAGCTCTAACCGCTGCACCACTGCGCAGCTACAGACCATGACCTCAGCGGTAAAGGCCTCCGAGGACACCCGAGCTGCAGCTATTTATAACCCGGGCTGGTCACATGTAGAGCAGCTGGACGACAACACGGAGAGTTTGAGTTCAGTAAAGTCCGCCTGGACAGAAGTCCTCTACCTGACCTCTTCTGTAGCGTTAGCATGGCGAGCTAGCTCGTTACAGCCACAGCGACGGGCCTTTTGGTGCTGATGGGTCACCTCAGCTGTTCTCACACGCCTCCTCCTGGTTGATGTTTTAGTACAAAGTTTATTCATCATTTTCTCTGCAGGAGGCTTTTTGCTAACAACACTTTTATAATTCCTCTCATCGTCGACGGCTGCGGGAACAAACTCCACTTTCCTCTTTTTATGGATCATTTCATTTGAAATGTTCCAGATCATGGAAAATCCACTTGTTGGAGCTTTCCACCGTGTGGCGTCGCCATTTCCTCGTGAGAAATGGCCCCAAACCCAGTTTTAACAGCATTCGTGCATTTCCCTGTCCCAGCTGCAAATGTAGAGTTTTACTTTGAAAATCCTGAAAAGGACTGAATGACAACGTGCATCAGCAGGCGTCTGTCCTCCCCCAGCGCTGGTCTGTCTCAGTTCTGGAATCTGCACCGCCGTGTAAACCCTGCGTCACGGCGAGTGCTGACTGGGTAGTCCAGTGGTCGGACTAACCCTAACCAGTGGCATGTGGTTCAGCACTGGTTCGATCCCAGCAGTAGTTTCTTTAGCTACGCTTGCCAGCCTCAACTGTTTCAAATCTAAGCACTAATCTGCGTTTGACTTAGTTTATCTAGCCAGTGTGAGCAGAGCAAATAAACTAAAACGACCAAATTCAAAGATCTTCATCCATCCATCCATTTACTTCCGCTTATCCGGAGTTGGATCACGGGGGCAACAGCCTAAGCAGGGAGGCCCAGACTTCCCTCTCCCCAGATGCTTGGGCCAGCTCCTCCGGGGGAATCCCAAGGTGTTCCCTGGCCAGGTGAGAGACATAGTCCCTCCACCGTGTCCTGGGTCTACCTTTAGGTCTCTTCCTGGTTGGACGTGGCCAGAAAACCTCACCAGGGAGGCATCCTGACCAGATGCCCGAGCCACCTCAACTGGCTCCTCTCGATGTGGAGGAGCAGCAGGTCTACTCTGAGCCCCTCCCAGATGGCCGAGCTTCTCACCCTAACTGATCTGAAGGCCTGGTACCACATACTCCTGGAGTACCCCCACAGGGCCCCGATGTCCACGCGATACTGCAGGACCATGTCAGCCAACACAGCCCCACAACATCCAGAGCCTTAACCCTCCCACTGTCTTCATGGGTGACCCCACGAGGGGTGAGGAGTGAGCCCCACCTCACCCCTCGTGGGGTCACCCATGAAGACAGTGGGAGGGTTAAGGAACTCCGGGCGGATCTCATCCACCCCCGGAGCCTTGCCACAGAGGAGCTTTTAACCACCTCAGTGACCTCAGCACCAGAGATTTGAGAGGCCAACCCAAAGTCCCCAGACTCTGCTTCCTCACTGGAAGACGAGTCGATGGGATTGAGGAGGTCTTCAAAATATTCCGCCCACCGATCCACAACGTCCTGAGCAGAGGTCAGCAGCACACCGTCCCCACTATAATCAGTGTTGGTAGTGCCCTGCTTTCCCCCTAACCCCCAAATCTGGATGGTGGACCAGAATCTCCTTGCTGAAATCTAGCTCCATGGTCTCGCCGAACTCCTCCCACACCTGGGTTTTTGCCTCCTCGACCACCCGAGCCGCGTTCCACTCAGCCTCACACACCAACTCAGCCTCCTTCCCCACCAGAGTGGAGCCAGCTTCTGTAGCCGGGGGTCAGACCGCCGAGGTCCCCGCCTTCAGCGACCACCCGTCACACACTGCACCCGACCCCTTTGGTCCCTCCCACAAGTGGTGAGCCCATTGGAAGGGGCCCAACGTTTCCTCTTCAAGCTGTGCTCAGCCAGGCTCTTGGGGTGACAGCCCGGCCACCAGGTGCTGGCCAACAAGCCCCGCCTCCAGAGGGGTCCTGGTGGCCCTCGCCTGGTTGGTGGAACACGATTTCATGTATATTTTTCTTCATGAGGGGTCTTTAGATCTAAAGATCTTTAGAGACAACATTTTTTGCAGAAAATAATCAATAAAACTAAAATATAAATAGAAGAAATCTGCTTCAGCTGCTGAATAAATGACTGCTGACGCCATCGGGAGTCGGAGCGGCGTCAGCACGTGGCTGAACTAGATGAACGCGGGCGCTTAAATCACCGGACTACCGAGGAGTACAGCAGCAGGCTGGCCTGGCGCTGTTGTAGGCACGTTTTGTCAGAGCAGGCGTGGGCGGAGCTTCACTTTTTATTTCCTGTGTAAATTCAGGCCGACAAATGCTCCGATTTAAGATGAAAGGACATTTCTAGTGCCAACGGGGATCTTTTATCACATAACCTTCTCAGTGGCCTAGTGGTAGCGTGTCCACCCTGGGACTGGGAGTTCAGGGTTCAAATCCCTGCTTGACCCTCTGGGGTTGGGGGTTCCCCGCTCCCCACGGGGCTGTGTCCGGTGGAGAGATGTAAGGTCAGCAGGGTGATGGCTAGTGGGACTTTCAGGTGTAACATATGGTGGTCAGAACCTTTGAGCCTGTGGTCCAGTAACGGTGTCGGATGTGATTGTGACCTAAGCTTACTCTGTGTCTTCTCCAGCTGAGGAGCAGGGCTGTGTCTGGACAGAAGAGACCGTCCGCTGTCCGCTCCTACGCTGCTGCTCCCCTCAGAGCCTGCAGGCCGCCATGCAGCTGGTCAACATTCAGACTCTGGCCTTCACGCCTCCACACACACTCCCATGGAGAGTCTTTTTGTACACACACACACAACACACACACGCCACCGACAGCACGCTCGTCCTGGCACAGCTGCAGCAGGAGGAGGAGGCGGCAGAAGAGATGGGGGCAGCGGGAACCAGAGGACAGGAAGTTAGAGTCACTCTGAGGCAACAGCCGACCGACGCGAGAGCCCTGAGGGTGTTTGTGTCCGTCCTCTCCTCCGTTCTGCACTCTCTCTCCTCGGGGAGCATTTAGATGATCTCGGTTTGTTCTCAGCCACCTGAGCGAGTGGGAAGCAGCTGGCCTGAGGACCATTCTCTGGACGGTCAGAACTTAGTTGGAGCAAACAGGAAGCTGCTTCCTTCACACGGGCAGCGCTGTGTAGGCGGGACCTAAAGCCAAACCAGTCAGACCCAGCCTGAGTCCCGCTTGTTCATGTTGGTGCTGGTTGGCCCTGGAAGCGGGGAAACGTTTATCCTCCAACAGCTGCGGACCGAGTCGACGGCTGCAGGTGACGAGTGGCTCAGGCTGGATGACTCGTATCAAATCATCGTGTGACGTTTTAGGATTAAACACAATAAGCAGGTTTTGTCTGCTCCTGCGCTGAACTCCAGAAGCTGACTTCAGACTCACGAGGAGGCGTGTTAATCCAGAATATCTGGATTATTGGTGCCATTTGTCCTGTAATCCCAGCAGCTGTGTTTGTTTACACGTAGGTCAGGCTGATTCACTCAGTCAGAGTTCAGAAGTATTAGATTATAGAGATTCTTTAGAGTTAATCTGGATTAATCATTCAGCAGGAAAACGGGGCGTGTGTGTCTGTAAACCATCCCCAGGTGGACTGAAGAGAATCTAATGGAACTCAAACGTTTCATGGATGAAAGTTCAAAGGTCACATGGGATCAAAGTGAAGCTGAAGTTCAGATAAGGACTCAAATATTTCCGTCAAAAGTTAACGACGCTTCCTTGTAGTAAAAGCAGATGCGAGTACTAGGTGTGGTCAGCCGCCCGCACCGTGGAATAACGAGGGCAGCATTCCATTTTCAGGAGTTCTCTTCAGCACGTTTTCCAGAACTGGAGCAACGAGCCAGCGGGTTCCTGCCCCGTTACTCCTGTCAGACACAACCCTTCCAAAGGGAAGGTGTTCATCCGCAGCAGGTAGGAGGTAGGAGTGGTTCCTGGCGATCAACCCTGTGGGTCTCCAAAGATCGACGCAGCATTCGATGAGCTCTGGAACTCCATGGATCCATAAAGGAAACGGCCAAAGTGAAACCTTCCTGGTGTCGGGGTTTCCTCTCAGTCCCAGGACGCCCTGCGCTCAGAGCCCACCCCAGCCTGTTTTCTGCTGCAGGGCGTGGACCGGTGAAAGCTTCAGCAGGAGCTCTGAAGGCACGACGAACGCCGCTGATGTTTTATTTTCATTTAATCACTTGTGTGTTTACATTAAACTTTATTTCAGACCCAAAACTGAACTCGTTTCTTTCTGAAGTTTCTGCTCAAGGGTCAGGAGATGAAGGGAAATGTGCACGTTTGCACTAAGTGTTCTGTAACTGCTGAGTTCGGCCCAGACTCGGTCCCGGTTTTCCTTCTGGCCCAGTGTGAACTGTGCGTGTGACACCCGTGAGCTAAAGGGCGATTCTCACTTTCCTGCATGAGTCACTACGAAGGGGGCGGTCTGCAGAGAGACAGGTGTGGAGCACTGCTGTAACGTGTGTAGGTAACGGTGTGAACTAATATTCAGTAGCAGCACCATCTGAACTCCTTTAACCTTTGTCTACTAAACAACTTCAGCCTAAAGTTACGAGGATTTCTTTCAGAAAATAAGAACAAGTTCATACTTTTATTAAAAGATGCTTCTGTCCTTTCACTTCATCCACGATTAATTTAATACTTTGTTTAATTTGTCAAAGTGTCAATGAGATGTGACATTTTGAGTGTCCTCACGATGTCCCGATAGATCATGCGCCCTGGCTACTTGGCCAAGGGGATGTCCCTTTGGCTGACTGGTTAGAGCGTATGACTCTCACCCGGGACTCTGGGGATCGAATCCCGCCCGGGCCCTCGTTTCTCCACCTTGCCACAGATATAATCTAACTAACCAGACCCGTCACCGTCAGGGTTCATCTCTAGATCCTGGTTCTGGTCTATAGGGCCTTACATGGACAAGCACCATCTTACACTGGTGATCTTCTTAGTCCCTACACCCCCAGCAGGTCCCTGAGGTCCAGTGACCAAAGCCTACTGGTTGTGCAGCACCAGGCTAAAGGTCAAAGGTGACAGATCATCTGCTGCTGTGGCCCCCAGACTCTGGACCTCTCTCCCCCTGAGCCTGAGATCAGTGGACTCAGTGGTCTCCTTTAAACTCTCCTGTTCAGGTTTGGTGGACCTTCGTCTCCCTCTCCTGGTTCTGCTCTCCAGCTCCACCTTCCTCAGGATCCTGATTTCCCTCTTTTCAGTCTCTCTACATGTTTAATCACAATTGTCTATTTTTGCTCTTTATAAGTATATTTTTAATAATTTTCTAAATTATTTTTTATATTTTTACGTGTTTTGTTTGTGAAGCGCCTCGGGATGTTTATAGAAAAGAACTTTTTTCTTCTTCCTCCTCTAAGCTAAGCTAGCTCCTAGCTTAGCCTGCATGTGGTGACGGACGCTTCCACTCACCTTAAACACAAGAAAACGTTCACTTTGCTGTCGAACTCAACTCGACAATCAAATTTAGTTTTGAAAGTTCAGAAGGGACAGACTTGGACACCAAATGAGCTAACTCCGCTCGTCCTCCATCTTGGACGCCATCGAACAGCAGGGGGCGCTGTTTCAGCCCGAGTGCGGCGCTTCTCGGACCGTTGCTCCGACACACCTTCCCCGACACGCCTCCACCTGGGGCGGTCTGGTCAGCCAGCCTGATGTTTCCTCTGGAACCGCCTGCAGCGGCTCTGGTCTGGTTCGTGACTGGTTCTGTTTCT